CGAGCCAGCCTAGTTCGTCGATGTCAACGATACCGAGTACACCTACGATGGTACGCCAGCAGTACCAGCAGTCTCAAGACCCGTTCTCGTCTCCTGCGCGTGGGGTGGGCTGGTCTCCGAGCGCGTCGATCCCGCTTTTGGACGTTCTTTTTCGCGAAGAAGAGGGCTCTACGCCAAGTCGAGATGCGCAGAGCGCGTCTGACCTTGGCGCGTTCCGTGCGAGTCGCGTTGTGTGGCCTGTACCCAATAGTCGAGATGAAGATGCGTCGGCGCTTGTGTCTCCTCCGAAGAACGCTAGTGCTAGTAGCAGCCAGGTATGTGCGCGCTATCGTAGCGGATTCTGGTCTTTGACGCGATAATGTGTTATTAGTCCCGTCAAGCACCTTCACCAGAAGATATGACCCGCTTCCTAGTCTCTCCTCGTTCTGGACCACCTTCCTCTCCGTCTCCCTCCAGATTTCCCGAAACATCTCATTCAACCACCCACTCGCTATACGCCTACTCCTCTCCAGTGGCCTCGGCTTCCCAATCCCCAAGTGCGCGTATAACGTGGTACGCCGCCGGTCTCGATGACGACAGGCAGGATCAATACCAGTGGGCAAGCCCCGCGTCCGGAGGACTAGGATATCCAAACTATTATCCGACATTTCATTCCAGTTATCTAGAAACTTATTCGCCTTCATCTCAAGCCTATTTATCTCCTTCCCAAGTCTTTCCTTCTCCGTCTGCATCATTCCTATCCCCGTCGCGTGCTTTTATATCTCCAAGCGCGGCGTTTCCGTCTCCGTCTCCAATGTACGCGTCTAGCGTCAGGTCGTCATCGCCTTTCTTTCCTCCGCCCGCGAGTCCGCCCCCGTTTGCGATGCACCTTGCTGGTGGCGCGCATACATCCTCGAATTCGGGTGATATAAGGACCCCAGAGTCGACGCACGACGATTCTGACTCGCCACAAATAATGAACGCGCCTCCATCTTCACCGGCAATACCTCCCTCGTCATTGGTACTTCCCCCATCCTCGCCTGTGCTGTCTCCTCCGTCCTCGGCGCCTCTCGTGGATGACCCATTCCTCGTCTCTCGCAAAACTCACGTCTACACTCGGGTGCCACGTCCGACGAGGGGCAAGACTGGTCTAGTTGATGTGCAGGCAGGGATAACCAAGCCGCTGCGCGCCAAAGCGAAAACGGCTACTCGGGGTCGGAGGGTTATACCTTCTCTAGAGCGCAGTGCGCCTGGGGAAAGTTCTTCGTTGTCGTCTTTGGGTGAAGCGTCTTATGCTACGTCGTGGGGTCAAGCTGCTTCTGCGCTGCCTACTCCAGCCAAATTCGCGACTGCTGCTCGAGGCTCACTCCAACCTCCCTTAACCACACCTGGATCATTGTCTGCTCCGCGGGTAACGAGTACCGCGACTTATTCCGGGAATGTATGCGTGAATCCATCTACTTCCTTCACACCCTCATTCTCCACGCCTGCTAGTAATACTTCATTCATGTTCCCCACGCCTACAAGCACTATCGCACTCGCTACGCCCGCTCATCCAGGTTTACTCTCTTCTCCTGAGATTGCGGATCCGTTCTCTACCCCAAGGACGAGCTCCGGGATTACTCGTGGGAGAGGAAGGGGAGAGGAGAGGGTGAAGAGAGTGAGGGAGGTGAAGAGGGATGGGACGCCTACGCCTGTTGGCGTGAGTGGGGACTTGTGGAACATTGGAAGGTACGTGGCGCATGTCTTGAAGAGAGGTTGGTATAGGTTTGCTGATTTCGATGAATATATTATAGGGAGGGCGGCGTTGAAGTTGATCCCAAGCGCGAGGTCGATAGTATGGGGGCGTCTGGGACCGACGATGGAAATAGTGGTGACGCGCAAGGAAGTCATTTGGCGTCGGAACAATTGGCTGTGTCGATTTTGAATGAAGGTACGTAGATGGGTCAAGTTTATGTTTTTCAAGCTCACTCATAGTGGTCGCAGAACCTGCTGGACCTAAGACCTGGATCGTCCCGAAGAATGAGCTTGTGGCTGGCTCGTTGTCGTCTAAAGATTCACTCGGGCTTCGAGAGTCAGTCAAAGTAACTGGTCCTTCTGGACAAGCTGGGTTCGCCTCCGCGGCTGTATCCAAGGACGGACCTGGGGTGGCGAGTCCGCAGGACTCATCTTCATCAATTAAGCGTGGAAAGCGTGTGCTTGATGAAGATGGTGACGAATACGACCCAGTCAAAAAGATCAAGACAGATGAAGAAAATGTATCACGCGATAGGGTCGGAAACCGCGTAAGACGCGTAAGTTATCTACCAGCATTTACTCGCATATATTGTTGCCCTTGGTTTCGTACATATAATTTAACTGACCGTGGCTCCTTATCTAGAATGTCCGCGTCCCACGTTTTCCCGTCGCTCGTCCAACGCGTTCTCATGCTCGCGCCGTCGCTGCTCTGCTAGTCCCTGAGGCTTCGACTAACCTCGACGCTCTAGACCATAAAATCTGTCCTTCCTTCGTCGACGCAGGACAGGCAGAGTCTAACGCCGCTCCAAGCCTCACCCCACCCCATGCCCAACCTACGATCATATATAACCAACTCGAGGCACCCAATTCTAAACGTACCCGCGAAAAAAGGCCAGGTACTGTTGATCGAGTGGTGTTGGGTCGTGCGCCAAGCCGCGCGACGAGTGAGGTCCAGGCGAGTAAACCGCATCAGCGTTCGGTGGGGCTACAGCCGGAAGGTGGTAGTGCTATTCGGCGGACTCGACCGATAGACATGGGGAATGAAGACGACGAAGGATTTGCGACTCAAGAGGACGACGAGGCGGAAGGCAAAACCCAATCTGAAGCTGAGGGAAGCTACTCGCCTAGTAAGCACTGTACTCCCTGCGTGCCTTGGTAGTGTTAATACGTATCGTAGAACCAAGCCCCACCAAGAGCAAACACCAAATCCCGTCTGATTTGCTACCCCGACCTGATGCCAGTTTGATTTATGCATCAGACAAGAAACTGCTGCGTCGGATATTTCCAAAAAGGTTTCATATCCACGAAGGGTACCCAGGATGGTATCGTCGATTCCCAGTATCGGCGTACTTTTTGCGCAACGACCCAGCCAGGGAATTTGTTCTCGGAAAACAGTACGTGCTCACACCTACTTTTCACTATATTAGCTCATGCTCGAATACAGCGCGGCCAAGGACAAATCTGCGTTTCCGCCCGCTCCAGGACCAGGTTCGCTGGTCCCTAACGCAGCGCAGCATTTCAATTTGTACACTCCACGATTCGTTCGAGGCGTTGGGGCCGGCAAGGTAGGGCTATGCGCGATTTGTGTGGAGCCCGTGTGGCGTGGTGGAGAGGGCAAGTCGGCGTTGTTTAACACCAAGGTGCGTTTGAGGGGGTTCGGGCATAGTGGTGGTGTGCTGGTACTCACTGAGAGGCGACTTTAGATCTCCGCATACAGTGAGCCATTTTAACTTTTCAAGCCGAAGCAAGACTTAGCCTTCAATAGACTACCACATGCAATACAACCACGGTATGTTTCAGAAACAAAGTAAAAATAGTACCATACTCATCATCATCGGGCAGGCATCTCCTCTCGAACCGGTCTCCCATTTTCGCCACCAATCAGGTTTAGGAAGACTAAGCGCCCGGTCTCGCACGTTAAACCGTTAGAGCGTGCGAAGATTGAAGAAGGCAAATGCCATGCATGCCAAAAATGGGTTGCTATTGAGAGCGTCAAGACGGCGGAAGTACTAGTAAGTAGACGAACTGCATGGCATCAATGCGACTTGCTGAATTTGGGTCGGTAAAGGTTCCGGAGTTGTACTGGTACGTTTCTTTATCAATGTAGCGCCCGCCGCTGAAGGTTGATAACGTGTTTTTTTAGGTGGAAACACGCTGCGTCGTGTCACAGTGTGAACCACTTTGCTGGAGACAAAGACCCGTATTTCGAGGACCACGTGTACCTCCGTCTTCGGGAGTATGAAGCATCGATTCGCGGAGATCCCAAGCTAGAGGACGCTCCAAATTCAAGTGACTCGGCCGATAATGGATTCAAACCTTCAACGTCCAAGTGTTCTGGCTTGAACGCGGAGTCCCAGCCCGCTTCGCAGCTCGATGAAACCCTAAACCCCAAAGGCCTCAGCTTAGGCTCCGGCAGCCTTGCGCCATTTGTTCAAACGACGTCACTCTCAGAGAGTGCAAACGGACCTGGAAGGTTCTTTTTTATGGACTCGGATTCTGATCTTACGGACTTGGAGGAGGATGAAAACGGTGAGATTGTAGACATGGACATATCTGAAGGAGAAAACATGTAGTTTTAAAGTATTTATTGACAAATGTATAATGTGGTGCATGTGATCTGAGAGTTTCCATATGGTCAAACCTTTGAGGGCTTTTCTTCTAATTCTTGTTTGGAGGGGGAAGGGGGGGGGGGGCTCAGAGGCACAACTTTCAGCTACAGCAAACAATTCAAGAGAATGTTTGAAGAACCAAATAATCTAACTATCCCTTATATATGAGGTTAGAATAAATAAACATACATTTCCTTCGTGAACACCCTCCCAAGTCAGTAGATGGGTCGAAATGCACTTATAGTTCAAGAGCCCTAAGTCTAAACCTAACTGAAATGTGTAGTAGAGAGGCAGACGTCGCCAAAGTGTGGATATATGCGCCAATATTCTACACATAAGTTAGTGCTACCATTAGTAAGGCAAATCTTGTTTCTGTAAAGTCTCGGAGAATTCTTTGCCTGATAAATACTGCCCGGTTGGTCACATTCCAAAATTAAGCACAAACCTACCATGGTATTTCAACCATTACTCTCCGGCCTGATTATGGATTCCGCTGTAACTTGGCATACGTCTACTCCGTGGCTTCAACTACATTACGTATTATGACAGGCAGAGATTACATGCAATGTTTAGCGAACTACAGCCATTCTTTCTTTCGGAAGGCTACGCGTTGTGTTTCTTTCGTAACCCACTGTGCAAGCAGTCTTAGGGCTAGATTTAAACATGAAAAAAGAAGGCCCCAGCCCGGAATTGAACCGGGGACCTCACCCAGTTTGCTTACGTAAGAAGCGGGGAACAACCCGAAGGGCGAATCATACTACTAGACCACTGAGGCACATAAGCGCTAGCCTATGTTTTTGACCCAAGGGTTTTAGAGTTATGAGACATACCTCTTCATTTCACAACTCGAACCCTCCAATACGACATACGCTTTGTTGCCAAGCAACGGGTGCTACATCAGGGGCGAATCGTTCCAGGCTATGGAGGCACATAAGCGCTCGGACCTCCACTAGACATCAGGTCACGACAAGACGTTCGCCTGACAGCCAACTACCTCTGATATCAGTAGAAATCTCTAGGCGCGCGTCTGCTCCGACGCATCCAAGATATCTCACCTTGGCACTAGCAAAACATTCAGCAACAATGGGCCGTAAACCCAAGACGCCCTTTTTCAGCACGGCGATACTCGGGCTCACGCAGACCCCCGAACAATTGCACATTGCAGGCTATTGCAGCCATTGCAAGCCATGGGTTGGAATCCCTTTGACTAATCATGGATAGCTTCGTACCAAGGTATGCATTGGTAGCTCAAGGCCTAGATAAGAACATCGATTTCTCCTAACTAAGAGTGTCTAAGAATTTATTATCTACAAGGCTCGTTGAAAAGAGTCGCATACACAAATTCATATTAAGAAGCACTATAAATATTCCAACTACAATAACCGCGTTGCGGAACAAGAAAAGAAAAGGACCCAAGATTGGCGGAATGTATGCGGTTAGTTAGGCGCCGGAGGACCCGAACGGGTGTCATAACTGGCATTATACGCTGGTGCACTGGGCAAGCGGCGGACCTGCTGTGGTGGAGAGCCTAGAGGAACAACTACCCCTTTGTCGACAAGGCTAACTCTCCGGTTCCCAGGGTTGGGGCGCGGGCCAGAGCCCTGACGCATGACTCGATTCCCGGGAACACCAGGCTGGGAGGACGGGAAGGAAACTTGTGAAGAAGAAGGGCTGGAATTAATGGACGAAGAGCTTTTCCCGTCGATGGCCTGTTTCACGTGTGCTAAGGCTTGGTTTTGAGCAAGCATCGAAGAACTGCTCTTGTTCGAGCCGGACATGATAGGTGGCAACACTGGCGCGTTGTCCGGGCTAGTAGGTGAATTACCCTCCGAGCCAAACACACTTCGTCGGTTACCCGGGGGTGTCCCAGATCCCATGGGTGTCCCACTAAGCCTTCGTTCCTGTCGGAGAGGGAGGGTGTTAATGGCGCTCTCGCTAGTCGACCTGCGCGACCGAGCACTCTTCATATCATCTGGATCGCTCATCGATAAACGACCATAGCCAGCACCCTTCTCGCCATTTTTGTAGGGCAGGTCGAAGCCTTGCTCGTATCGAGACAGGCGGTCATGAAGGAGGTCGACATCGGCGCGGGCGCGGAGTGCGACGATAGCCAAGGCGATCATTGCAATGAGCAAGGCACCAGACAGACAGGCCAGCGCGATGATCATCTGGTGGTATTTGGACTTGAGGAATGGGACGTTGGTATCTGAGATGCCCGTCGGTGAGGAGGCAGCCATAGTAGGGGTTTGGGTTTTGGAAGTGACTGCAGATTGAGTGAACAACAACGCGACAGACGAGGTGGTTTGGCCTGCACCCTCGGTTGGGCTCGTTGGGCTGGGCGCCGCAGACGTAGGCTCGGGAGTGGACGTAGGGGGAGGATCAGAGGTAGAAAGATCACTTGACGTGGCCGTAGGCTCGGACGTAGTCGTTACATCTGTGGTAGCATCAGGCGATGCCGTCTCTGTGGCAGCATCAGGTGTCACAGTTTCGGTGGGCACGGGAGTCGTAGTGTCGACCGTGGTTGAAACATCCTGTCGCTTATGTAACTGGACGGAGATGAGTCAACCGAACTCTGCTTTGCTCGATGGTACTCACCAACGCACCGCGTGGCCCGACATCAAGATTCGATCTGTCGACTGGTCGCAGACAAGAGGCAGTGGATGCCAAAAAGATCCACATAAAGAACACCTTGCTTGAACGCATTATGGATAACGAGGGACGATGGGTTACGGGAAGAGTTACGAGAGGGGCTTGGAGTTATATGTGGGAGAGGAGGCACTGCTCGGTTGCGTAGTCCCTGCGTAACCCATAAAGGCAACCGTTCCTGCAGCTTCAGCACGTTTGATAGGCGGGCGCCTCGGCACAGCATCAATCTTTGTTTGGCACCAATTGTTGCATCGAGCGCTTGTATTGAACCTTAGATAGTTAAATCAACAGCTTTACATACCATCGGCGGACTTGCTATCGATGGTGGCCTCGTTTGAACCCCCAAAAATTCAACATTGGACGCGAAGAAGGGAGGCAACATTCCTATCAACCCCCCGTGGCGTACGAACAATTTACGGTGGCGAACAAGACGCGTTGAGTATTGATAACACGATGTTGAGAAGTTTGATTACACTTTAGAGATCAGCTCATGACGCAATGTGAGACCTGGCTGAATGTGAGGTTCGCCTTTGCACTTCTTGCTCATAGATGAGTTCAAGCTGGCAGTGTAGGAGAAGTTGTTCTTGATGGCGAGTTTAGCGCTGTGCAAGTGGAGCATACAGCCAGGTGGAGCCTTCAAACTGAGCCACGGACGGCCGCTTGGTAAACACGCCATTTTGCGTACATCATAGAGCTCTTATCGTACAGCGGAATCATTACGCAGTGACAGTCTTCATGTGTACTGATTTGGCGCGAGTCAATTGGTCGTATCCTACTCATAGAGTATGTCAGCCGCATCCACGACATCCGCCACGCGATACTCACCAAACTTGCTGAGGCTCACCCCGCGTCCACTATCTTTGACGCCAGTCCAAGCCAAAGCCGGGTCCAGATAATCACATCGATTGAGGAAGACCGTGCCCGTCTCGAGTTCATCGACGAACCGTAGGAATGCTGCCTCAGATTCTGGTTGAGTAGAGGTCCAAATGGACGCGGTTAACCCATACGGAGAATCGTTCATCAACTCGAGTGCTGCCTGGTCAGATGGAACACGCATAATCCCTACGACCGGCCCGAATGTCTCTTCCTTCATTACGTCCATAGCTACAGTGTACACAACATGAGTTGTAGGCGTGGTCTTGTTCGCAATTAAAACCTACAATGGTCCACATCAACCAATACCTGTGGCGCAACATAGGTGGTCCCCCTAATAAATTTTTCAAGATAACGAAACGCATGTTAAACATGGACTCACGGCTTCGCGGCTGGAAAGATGTCTTCTGGAACAAGTGCCTTGGCCCCTGCCTTGACTGTTCGCAAGACTTAGTAATGCATATTACGCACACCCAGGCGACTTACTGGCCGCATCAACTTGCTTTCGGATCCGCTCTGCACTCGCCAATGATACAACGGGTCCAAGGTTTGTGGTAGATTCCGTCGGATCGCCCAGTTTGTATTTCTAGAAACGAGGCCTGTTAGAACACTCGCGAAGGCGCCGGGTGGCTACTTACCTTGACAATGTCAACATAAGCCGAGACGAACGCCTCGTAGATAGAATCGTGGACATAGATACGCTAGAAAGACGATGAGCGGGAAATTCAATTTTAGACCCGAAGACCAACCTCGACCGCGCAACAGCTCTGCCCAGAGTTGAAGAACGCGCCTATGTAAGATAAAGGTCAGTATATGCGAGTATTTAGGTAGTGCAAATTACCATCAACAAGCTCAGCGGCTGTGTAATTGACATCGGCGTCGCTCCGCACATAAGCGGGGTCTTTTCCTCCAAGCTACGCTATGGTTAGAGTATGCTTGTGTTTTGTTGCCTGGTTGAGACGCACTTCTAAGGCAACGCCTTTGAATCCGCCTTTGACTGCATTTTGGGCGACTGCCTGGTACAAAAGTATTCACAAATGGATTCAGCATAAGGACTGAACGCTTACCTTTCCATTCGCCACACTCCCTGTGAAGCTAACAAAGTCGACATTTGGGTGTTCCACGACATGTGCAGTGAGCTCTGGGGAGAGATGCGTAACCAAAAAGACGTCCTCAGGAAGTCCTGCCTTCTGGAACGCCTCTTGTAACCTGTGCGCAGTGAGCTACAGAAAGTTGAAATCAGAAAATCAAATAATCAAATGAACGGACTTACTGGAGTTTGGGGAGAAGGCTTCAAGATGACAGAGTTGCCTGCCCTGGAGCGGTGAGTGAGTCGCATGACTGGCGATCGGGCTTGACGTACCTGCGATAATCGCGGGAAGCACAGAGTTGATCGATGTAAGAAACGGAAAGCTACGCGATTGATATAACTAAATAGTAAAGTTTGATAAAAGAGCGGTGACTCACTTCCACGGGGCGATTACGAACACCACACCCAGAGGTTCGCGCTTGATATACCGCTTAAAGCCTGGCTTGTCAGTATCCTCCAACCCCACGGGGGCGAGGGCCTTCTCAGCAATGGAAAGCATGTAGTTTGCACGTTCCAAGGTACCACGTATCTCTCCCGCGTTTTGAGTGACCGGGCTAGGTAGGTTTAATCGGTATTATTGGTTTGACTTGATTGGGTAGTACTTACCGTCCCATCTGCTTTGTGAGCTCAAGCGGGATCTGATCACCCATTGCCTTGAACTCATCCTAGAAGTGTTGATAAATATTGCGTCCAGTATCGGTGCCATATTGGTGTACCGTGAACTTATGGCCTATCTTAACCCTTTCCTCCAATGGAACAGTCTTCCATGATTTCTGAGCCTTTACAGATCGAGAGACAATAGAATCTAGCTCAGTGGTCGAGGGATATTCATAAGTAATTAAAGGCTCTTGGGAGTGAGGAATAATCGTTGTCTGTTTTGTTGATGCCATCTTGGATTGTGGTGGAGCCAAGGTTGGAGATTAACCCTGTTTGACACTGTTGACGATCATCCGAACCGAACCCTCGCTTCTAACGCTCGTCGCTTAGTGAGGCGATCCTTTCCTCTTCACCTTACCGGCTTCATGCAATAGTTAACTATTACGTCTCTATTTCGACGAACACTATGGTCCCACAAGCAGAATCCTCGGGACTTATTTCTTGCAACATTGCTACAGAGGTATTCATCTCGAAGAAATTCCAACATTTAAAGATCCCACATGAGAAGA